TATTTTGAAGACTGGAGGTCTACCCGCTGGTATGTACGGGGCTAGAGTGCATGGTGTATCAAGCAAGAGACTTGGTCAGATCAGAGCGGTCATCGCTCGCAGCGCGTTCGGCACTTCGAGGGGCCGTTCGAGAACCTTGGAGTTTCAGCTGTGCGCCGACCCGACCCTGGACCCCACCTTCCAGGCCAACCTCCTCCCCCTCCAGTCCTGGGTGCAGGCCTGGAGAGAGCAGTGGTTGCCCAGAAGTCTCCTCACCAATATCTTCGAGGTTGCCCTTAAGACCCCTGGATTTGACTGGAAGCAGGTCCATGGCCCTGGGGGCGCTGTTTTCTGCACTTTAAAGCGTATGGGCTGGTCTGCTTGCCATCCCGTCGTTTGGAAGGACTCCAGAGGTATGTTATTTGACTTCGGTTATTTGGAAAAGAAGACCCTCAAGACCCTGGTCCTCTCTGGCACCAAGTCGGCCTTGCTGCAGGGCCTCAAAGGTACATCCTTCCATGGGAGTGTCTTGGCAGGAGCCCCGCGCCTGGAGCCCATCATCGAGGTCCTGAGGCAGTTACGTTCCCGAGGCCAGATGTCGAGTGCAGCTTTTTTGGCTGGTTCCGTGTCGGGCGGCTACCCGACGCAGAGCATCCTTTTCAGGGACAGGAGGGCAACCAGCCCGCATTGCAAGCTCTGCGGCGCCCTCGGCACGCCCCAGCACAGGATTGTAGGCTGCCCTGCGACGTGGTGGACCCGTAGGGAGCTGGACGTGCCTGAAGCAATCGCCGACTTCGAAGAGGCTTCGCCTTACGACATCGGCACCGCCAGATGCCTTGTCCCCAGCCTGGCTTTCGAGGCCCCTCCCCCCCGTCAGGATGCTGCTCAGGTTTGGAATGTTCTCCCCCCCAACGGCGTCTTCCGAGGCAATGTGGCGATCGACGGCTCGGCCTTCTCCCCAGGTGACCTCGCTCTGGAGAGAGCGGGCTGGGGGATAGTCCAAGTCGACCGCCATGGGGATTGGGTTGGGGCCCTATACGGGCCCCTGCCCCACCCCGTCCAGCAGTCGGGGTGTGCCGAAGTGTACGCTCTGCTTATGCTCATCCAGAATATCGGGGTGGAGCCTGTGCAGGTTGTTTGTGACTGTAAGATGGTAGTGGATATCTGGGAAGCTGGCAGTGGCCAGAACCTAGATAACATTGCGTACTCAGAGGTCTGGCGCGAGATTTTCCGCAAGAGTGAAGATATCACCGCGCCGATCACGGTGGAAAAAATTCGGAGCCACCAGTCCTGGGCCAAGGCGTCCGCTCAAGGCTGTGCCTGGTGGGCTTGGAGAGGCAACCGAGAAGCAGACCGCCTGGCCCGACTGGGAGCTCAGATACATCCTGTCCCCCCGCAGCTGCGCACGGAGCTGAAAGCCCTCGATTTCCAGGTTCGGGGCCGCTCTGTGTTGATCGCGGGCGTCGGGGGAGCGTTATCCAAGCTTAATTTCAAGGATGCAGATAAGTTCCGCGCCAAGCGGTATAAAGCTCCAGAGGTTTTGGAAGTCGTGTCTGATCCCAACGGGCACGAGGTAGTGCGGGTGGGCAAGAGATCCGCTTGCGTGTGCTGTGGAATTCGAGACTGGTCGAGGAATGCGATTACTGCGTTCCCTTGTTCGGGGCTCCCCAGGCCCGCTCGCGTGGCTCACCCCTCCCACAGACTTTGGAGCGGTGAAGGAGGCCGAGTGTGGTGCTGTGTCTGTGGGGCGTTCGGCACTAAGAAGGTGGTCCTCCTCGCCAAGGCCTGCAACGGCGGGCCTCGGAACAAGGACGCGGCTCATTCTTTGAGTCTCCTCAAAGGCGGGATCGACCCTTCCTCAGGTGCGGAATTCGGCCGATCGTTCCCCCTCAAGAGAGAGAGACCCCTCTAAGTGCCGTGCGTTTATTACCCCCCTTTTTTGTGCCACGTGTTGCATCAGCGGGACGTGGTGCGCCAAGGACCCAAGGACCCAAGGAGGAGGAGGAGGAGGAGGAGGAGCACCCCCCGCGAGGCCCCAGGGGGGGGGGGGGGGGCTCCGACGGGGAGCGACACGCCGGGGGCACCATGCTGGGACAGGGGCACGCCGCGGAGCGAAAGGGCGGCCCTCGGGGGGAGGCGAACCATCGGGGAGCCGCGCCCGGCACCGCCGGGCGCGGGCGGGGGCGCGGCGGGGGAAGTCGGCGGCGTTGCCCGCGGGGGAGTGCCTGAGGGGCCCCCTCGGCCTCACCTGCCTCCCCTATTGTCTCACTCCTCCCTCCTCCTCCTCCTCCTCCTTCTTCTCCTCCTCCACCACCTCCTCCTCCTGCTCCTCCTCCGTGCTTCGGGACCGTCCGTTGAACGACTCAGGAGGAGGTCTCCGGGAAGGGGCCCAGACCTCTGGGGGTCACGCCGTGACAGAATCGTGCCCTCTGGGGACTCGCATGATAATCATCACCGTACGCCGCCGCGCTGTTTGTTCTCGACGCGCCCAAGTGGACGACGCCGACACCACGGCAAGCCCACTAGGGGGCCACATGCGAACCCTACCCCTACCCCCCACGATTTCTGAGGGGGAGTGTGGGGTTCACTTCGTTCGGGAGCTCCCGAGCGAAGTGAACCCCACCCCACCCCTCAGAAATCGTGGAGGGGTAGGGGTAGGGTTCGCATGTGGCCCCCTAGAGAAGGAGCAGGCCTGTGGATGCCATGACAATCCGATCATTGAGTCAAAGATGCGTGTAAACATGTAAAACACGCTCTAAAAAGATAGGTCAAACATTTGCACACTGGTTTAAGACGTGTTTTAATCATGTGTTAGACATCTGGAGATTATCTGGCAGCGTGCTTCCTCTCCAGTGATCGTCCTCCACAAGAGCAGGCCTACGCGGAAGGCGGTGGGGCTGCTCCGAAGCCCTGCGGCCTTCTTCGAGGGAAGCGCGCTTTCGGAGCCGATTTGGAGGATGTCTCGAGCGAGGCGCTCATTTTCACCCCCAGGGGGAGCCGCCAGGGGTTATCTCACGGTCCCGTTCGCGGCCGTTTTGTGGGGACGTCTCAAGCGGTTTGCCTGTTTTCTGTCCCAACATCCTTCGCATTCGGAGCAGATTTGGAGGATGTCTCGAGCGAGGCGCTCATTTTCACCCCCCTAAGGGGAGCCGCCAGGGGTTATCTCACGGTCCCGTTGCCCATCATCAGCGCCCTTCGCTGGCCAACCTCGTTCGGTAAAGGTTCAAGGTTGCCCTTGCGTCCTTGCCCCTTCGGCCCATCCTTAGCGCCCTTGGCTGGCCAACCTCGTTCGATGAAGGTTCAGGTTGCCCTTGCGCCCTTGCCCCCTTCGGCCCATCCTTGGCGCCCTTCGCTGGCCGACCTCGTTCGATAAAGGTTCAAGGTTGCCCTTGCGCCCTTGCCCCGTTCGGCCCATCCTGGGCGACTTTCGCTGGCCAGCCTCGCTCAAAAAAGGTTCACATGGGCATCCAAGGCCCCCGAGCGTCCGAGGGCCTCCAAGAGCGCCCCCCAGAAGGCTCTGGAGGAGGAGGAGGAGGTGGAGGAGGAGGAGGAGGTGGAGGAGGAGGAGGAGGAGGTGGAAGAAGAGGATGGAGGAGGAGGAGGAGGAGGGGAGGAGGAGGAGGAGGAGGAGAGGAGGAGGAGGAAGGAGGAGGAGGAGGAGGGAGAGAACGAGGAGGAGAACGGGAGGATGACGACGAGGACGAGGGGGAGGAAGAGGAGAAGAGGAGGAGGACGAGGCGGAGGGAGGAGGGTAGGAGTAGGAGGGAGGAGGGAGAGGGCGTAGGGAGGATGGAGGAGGAGGAGGGAGGAGGAGGAGGAGGAGGAGGAGGAGGAGGAGGAGGCGGAGGAAGACGAGGCGGGAGGAGGGAGGAGGAGGAGGAGGAGGAGGAGGAGGAGGAAGGAGGAGGAGGAGGAGGAGGAGGAGGGAGGAGGAGGAGGAGGAGGAGGCGGAGGAAGGAGGACGGAGGAGGAGAGGAGGAGGAGGGAGGAGGAGGAGAGGAGGAGGAGGAGGAGGAGGAGGAGAGGAGGAGGAGGAGGAGGAGGAGGGGCAGGAGGAGGGAAGGAGGGAGGAGGGAGGAGGGAGGATGGAGGAGGAGGAGGGAGGAGGGAGGAGGGAGGAGGGAGGAGGGAGGAGGGAGGAGGGAGGAGGGAGGAGGGAGTGAGGGAGGAGGGAGGAGGGAGGAGGGAGGAGGGAGGAGGAGGAGGGACGGAGGAAGGAGGAGGAGGAGGAGGAGGAGGAGGAGGAGTGAGGAGGAGGAGGAGGAGGAGGAGGAAGAGGATGACTGTGTTGGGCGCCGCGGCCGTGCCAGAGAGCGCTCCGAGAGCGCCCCCCGAAGGCCCTGGAGAGAGTTGTAGCCTGGCCCTGGGCCCGCCCGGCCTCAGCTGGGGGACGGCGCCGCGCACGACGTCGAGCGTCTGCCGCAGGATGTCGGTGGTTGAGGACACGTGGAGGACACGAGGAGGAGTGGTGGAGGCGGAGAAAGGCGGAGGAGGAGGAGAGCGAGGAGGAGGAGGAGGGGAGGAGGAGGAGGAGTCCGGAGACGGAGCCGGAGGAGGAGGAGGAGGAGGAGGAGGAGGAGGTGATGCTGAGGCGAGAGGAGGAGGAGGAGGAGGAGGCAGAGGCGGAGGCGGAGCAGGAGGAGGAGGAGGAGGAGGAGGAGGAGGAGGAGGAGGAGGAGGAGAAGGAGGAGGAGGAGGAGGAGGAGGAGGAGGACCACGATGCTGCCATCGCACGCGGCGTTGACGATCATCGAAGAAGAATACACGCCATAACATAAACTGTTGGCGCTCCGCGCGGATTTCTGGGATCTGCGCTAGACCCCCCTCCCTGGCGCGCGGAGCGCGCCAAGGGCGGCGCCAGAGGCGCCGCTGGAGGCCCAGGCGCGGATCGAAGAAATCCGCGCGGAGCGCCAAAAGTTGATGTGTATGTGCTTTTTCTTGTTCGAGATCAGGTTGATGTGGAAGTCCGCGTCGAAGACGGACCAGTCGTCGGCGTAGACGTCGCCCAGGACAGAGAGGTAGCCCATGTCCTCCAGCACCTCGGCCATCGCGGACCCCTGCAGGGTTTTGGGGGGCCGGAACAGCTTGAGGTCGCCGTCCGAAGCGGGCCAACGCGGCAGGATCGAACGGATCCCCGTCTCCCGGAGGGCCAGTGGAGACAGCATCGGCTCTTCCGCTCGGCCCGAAGCCGTTGAGAACCCGTCCCCAAACATGCCCCCAGGGACCCTGCTGAAGTCAGGTCGGGCATGTCCTCCTGCAGGGGGATTTGGGAGGAAACATAACACGTAGTCAAAACAAGTACCCCGAAATGATCAACACACAGTCGCAACATCGTCCCCAGGCTGCATTTGACTATTTTCTAATATTCTCAGAGCCCCGAATCATCAGGGGTAACTCGGGTCAGGGCTAACTCGGGTTCGTTTTTCGGGATTCCGAACCCGAGTTATCCCGGACCCGAGTTACCCCGGATATTTCGGGCGTCAAGGGCCCCGAATCATCAGGGGTAACTCGGGTCAGGGCTAACTCGGGTTCCTTTTTCGGGAATCCAAACCCGAGATACCCCGGACCCGAGTTACCCCGGATAACTCGGGCGCCCAATATTCCTCCTGTAGGGGGACAGGCCCGACATCATTCTAAAGCCCTCTTTTCCGGGCCGGCTCCCCGGCCGTGGCGGCGAGCACCCGCCGGGCAGCCTGCAGAGAGAGCGAGCAGCGCCAGGGAGTCCTCCTCCTCCTCCTCCTCACTCCTCTCATCCTCTCCTCCTCCTCCTCTCATCCTCCTCCTCCCCCTCCTCCTCCGCCTCCTCCCCCTCCCCCTCCCCCTCCCTCCCCTGGTGACTGCCCCGCCCGATTCTCAGCCCAGCTGGCCCGCCCGAGCAGGGAGGCGGTCGGGGGCGGCCGGGGGCCCGAGCCGGACAAGCCTCGGGAAAATCTGTCAGGAGGGGGGACGCAGGCAAATGCAGCTCAGATCGATCCCCGGGCCATTCCCAGAGCCGAAGCCGACCCGTTCTCGAGAAGCGGACCCGGCAGTGGCGCCGAGGAAGCCCCAAGGCAGCCCTCAGAGAGGGAAGAGCGCCAGGGAGCTGCACGGTTTCCCCTAGGGGCCGTAGGCGACCCGAGGAGGAGGAGGAGGAGGAGGAGGAGGAGGAGGAGGAAGAGGAGGAGGAGGAGGAGGAGGAGGAGGAGGAGGAGGAGGGAGGAGGTGGAGGAGGAGGAGGACGAGGAGGAGGAGGAGGGGGACGAGGAGGAGGAAGAGGAGGAGGAGGAGGACGGGTCGCCTAAGCCCTTCGGAGAAACCCTCCACAGGAAGCGCCGCCGTCATCTCGACTGGCCCCGCTCCGAGTCTCCCACGCCTCCATGGCGGCTCGCACCTCGGCGCCGGTCATGCCCAGCATCGCCGTCGGCGCGGTGCCGTGGTTGCCGATCTCGTGGCCTGCGGCCGCGGCTTCCCTCAAGACGCCGCCGTGCTCGAGAGTGCCATTGTCCATGATGGCGAAGAACGTTGCCTGTCGCGGGCGGGAAATGCACGCAGACATGCTCACGGCGTGAAAAAAACAAAAACAACACGATTGACTTTCGTTGACACTTTCTGCCTCTGGGGGGGGGCCCTCGCCGGGCCCCCTTCGGCATCACAAGAGATGGGAAGCACATGGACATACTAATACTATATGTCCTTCTTGGAGGCGCGTGCCCGACCCGAACATATAGTATACCCATCTTGTAGTACATCGTCTCCCGAGCGGCGTGGCCAGAAAGCGCCCGCCACGACGCATATACTATAAGACTTCTCGGTGCGCGCGTCGCCCCTGGGGGGGCGACGCACACATAGTATGAGTACACGTCGGTCGGAAGAAGTAGGTAGAAACCTGAAGTAGGAAGGCGGGTGTAGCAGATTGGGCCCGGGTCCCCCCAGAGAATCACAGAGCACAGCAAAAAGCATGCCGATTCCTGAAGCAGGAGGGCGCTGGAGAAGTAGATTGGGATCTGGGAAGCCAGGAATGCCTACTTTCAGCGACCGGCGTGTGTGTTGGGGCGACGCCGCAGAGAATCACAGAGCACAGCAAAAAGCATGCCGATTTCTGAAGCAGGAGGGCGCTTGAGAAGTAGATTGGGATCTGGGCAACCAGGAATGCCTACTTTTCAGCGACCGGCGGGTGTGTTGGGGCGACGCCGCAGAGAATCACGGAGCACAGCAAAAGCATGCCGGTTCTTGAAGCAGGAGGGCGCTTGAGAAGTAGATTGGGATCTGGGCAGCCGGAGATACCTACTTTTTAACGACCGGCGTGTGTGTTGGGGCGACGCCGCAGAGAATCACAGAGCACAGCAAAAGCATGCCGATTCCTGAAGCAGGAGGGCGCTTGAGAAGTAGATTGGGATCTGGGCAGCCGGAGATACCTACTTTTTAACGACCGGCGTGTGTGTTGGGGCGACGCCGCAGAGAATCACAGAGCACAGCAAAAAGCATGCCGATTCCTGAAGCAGGAGGGCGCTGGAGAAGTAGATTGGGATCTGGGCAGCCGGAGATACCTACTTTCAGCGACCGGCGTGTGTGTGTGTGTGAGTATGTGTGTGTGTGTGTGTAAACATGTGATCGTGTGCGGTGTGTCGATGTGCGTTCTTGTGTTGTGTGTGTGCGTTGTGTGTGTGTGCGTGGGTTGTGGGTGTGGGGGTGGGGGTGGGGGCGTGGGGGGTGCTGGCTGCTGGGTGTGGGTGTGGGTGTGGGAGTGTGCGGGGGTGGGGAAGTGGTTGCGTGGGGCAGCGTGGTAAGGATCGTAACCAGCCCCGAGTTCAGTGTGTGTGTGTGTGTGTGTGTCTGTGTGTGTGTGCGTGTGCTGGGGCGACGCCGCAGGAGAGGAGGCTCGGCACGAGGCGCCGGCCCCCGGGGGCAGGGGGCGAGGCCTCTGGGAGGGGGGGGGGCCGACGCTGGAGCAGCCCAAAGGTCGTGGCGCCGGGCGGCCCCCGGAGAGAGGCACTGCTCGGGAGGTGCCCCGGAGAGGCACGTGGGTTCTGTTGCTCCCATCGTACGGTCGGGGCGTTGACCTAAGGAACCCAAAATAAGGAACGAGGCCCCTTTTTTCCCATGAGTTGACCTTCGATTTCCTGTCGAAAACATAAGGAACACCTGAGGCAAGCTGCGAAACAGTCAAGGGACACCGAGCCCCTCCCCAACGAAAAACGTTCCTTCTTCAGGGCCCCGACTGCACTTCAGGACCACATGCCAGAAATAATCTCGAGCGCCCGGAAGAAAAGTGTCGAAGGAGCGTCTCGAAGCAGTGTCGGACGAGCGTCTCCCAGGGCCCGACGCATGAACCCCCCCGAGTTCTTCGGTCTTTTTTGGGGTGCTCGACATTCTTGCTGGTGGTCGAGGCTAAAGTAATTAGGTTGGGGCATCGTAACACTTGAGGGGGGGGCCCGCGGGCGCCCGGGGAAGACACCGGGGAGGTGCCTGCGGGCCCAGGGACGAGGCACTCGTGAGGTGCCCGCGGGCGCCTGGGGAAGGGAGGAGGAGGAGGGGGAGGAGGAGGAGGAGGAGGAGGAGGAGGAGGAGGAGGAGGAGGAGGAGGAGGAGGAGGAGGAGGAGGAGGAGGAGGAGGCAGGAGGAGGAGGAGGACGGGAGGAGGAGGAGGAGGAGGAGGAGGGGAAGGAGGAGGAGGAGGAGGAGGAGGTTGGGAGGTGCCCGCGGGCGCCTGGGAAAGACACCGGGAGCAGATCCAGGGAGTCCACAGAAGACGTAGGCGCCCGGCCACGCACGTGATCACGGCCCCCATGGTCCGCCAGACCGGCCTCGTGGTACGACCGTTCGCGCACTGCGCGCTTTCGAAACCAGCGTGGGTTCATGTGCGTGTATGTGTGTCCGTTTGTCGCTCGCAGCGAAATCGCCTGAAGGTTCGATTCGATCGCTCTGCCACTATTGAAGTCCACTGCCCCTCAAGAGGGCTTGTCCTCCAGGACGCACGCGGCAGAGCAGCCGACAACACTGCAAGGAGGAGGGCAAAAACCTGCAGCGGCCCCAGACCTGGGCAATGGGTGGAGGAGGGAGGAGGGGGGAGGAGGAGGAGGAGGAGGAGGAGGAGGAGGAGGAGGTAGGGAGGTAGGGAGGCGGAGGAGGAGGAGGAGAAGTGAGAGAGGGCGAGGGGAGGTAGGAGGAGGGGAAGGGAGGGAAGGGGGGTAGAGTAGGAGGGGAGGGAGGAGGTAGGCGGAGGAGGATGAAGAGAAGGCGAGTGTAGGGAGGGCGAGGTGGGGAGGGAGGAGGAGGAGGAGGAGAAGGAGGAGGAGGAGGAGGAGGAGGAGGCGTAGGAGAACCCAAAGCACCAGGAGTACCGCCCAGGCCAGCCTGCACATCCTTACAGTGGAGGCCCGACCACGAGAAACATTCCACAAGAGACCCAACCCTGAGACCCCAGGACGTCCATGGACTCTTGGTGTGGAAACGGTACGCTCTCCGTGGCAAAACCCTCGAAACCCAAGAAGCCCAGGGCACCCTGGAGGCAAGCAGGGTGTCTCTTGGCATGGGCCCCCACTGTATCGGGTGTTGCTAGAGGCACCCCTGGCCCAAGGTGCCCCCAGCTCTTCGCTCCATTCTCGAGCCCCTGGGGCCCTCCGAGCCTCGTGAGGGGTGCTTTGGAGGCCGCCTGGGCCACCCCGAGAATCCTGGGGGCACCTTGGCCCAGGGGCACTTCGAGCAACACCCTGTTGATCCGCGGGTCGAGAGCGCACCTCTTCCGGTCGAAGCCTAAGCGGGCCGCGCGAAGCTTGAATTGGGCAAAGAAGAGGAGGCGGAGGAGGAGGAGAAGGAGGAGGAGGAGGAGGAGGAGGAGGAGGAGGAGGAGGAGGAGGAGGAGGAGGAGGGGGAGGGGAGGAGGAGGAGGAGGGAGGAGGAGGAGGAGGAGGAGGAGGAGGAGTGAGGAGGACGAGGAGGAGGAGGACGAGGAGGAGGAGGCGGAGGAGGAGGAGGAGGGGGAGGGAGGGGGGGAGGGGGAGGTGAAGGAGGAGGAGGAGGAGGAGGAGGAGGAGGAGGAGGAGGAGGGAGGAGGAGGGAAACACTTCGAGCAACACACGACCGCATCCACGGCCTGGCGGGCCAGGCCCCCGGGCCAGAGACCCCGCGGACACGTGCGCGCCCGCTTCCGCGGCGGGACCCCCCCCGCGCGCAGCGCGCCCCGTGCCTCCCCGCGCCTCCCCGGGAGCAGGTCGCGCCCAGGGCAGCCGGGCCACGGGGGCGGAGGACGTGTCCGGAGGCCCGACGCGCTCTCTTGAGCACGGGGGGTCCTCCCCCAAAGGCCAGCTGGAGGAGGAGGAGGAGGAGGAGGAGGAGGAGGAGGAGGAGGAGGAGGAGGAGGAGGAGGAGGACGAGGAGGAGGAGGAGGAGGCGGAGGAGGCGGAGGAGGAGGCGGAGGAGGAGGAGGCGGAGGAGGAGGAGGGAGGAGGAGGCGGAGGAGGAGGTGCCCGGAGGCCCGACGCGCTCCTTTCAGCACGGGGGGTCCTCTCCCAAGGGTTCTGCTGTTCCCATCCTACTCGAGGACCACGTCCCAGAGATCATGTCGAGCACCCAGCAAAGGGTCGAAAGAGTGGCGCAGGAGTGTCGAGACAGCGTTGGGCGAGTGCCTCCCAGGGCCCGACACGTGAAAACCATGGAGTTTCGGTATCTTTTGGGGGGCTCGGAATTCTTTCTGGTGATCAAGGCTACAGTAGGTCGGAACATCATAACCCAAGGGCCAGCTCTGCATCCTTTCGTAAAGTGTTTCTAATGGCCTGGGTTGGGGGCCCGGATATTGGCACCACCACCACCAGCACAGGGGGGTGCCCCCACACGGGGAAGACGAGATCCTAGATTTCGGTGCTGGTGGCAATACTTCGGCAACCTTGGAAGCCAGAAGATGACCACCATCACCTCGGTCGGGATCGTCTTCCCTCAGTGGAGGCACACCGCCAATCTTGGTGTTGGTGTCAACCTCTAGGCCTGGAACTGGGGGTCCGGCGAGGGCCCCCAGGGACTGGAAACGACGGAAGACCTCCGTAAGATCTGGGCGCGCATTATGTGATGGGGGGTAATCAATGGGAGGGGGCGAGAAGGTGCCCTCTTCGGGCCATGGAAGCCTCCTCTGGGGCCCGAGAGGGCCCTTTTCTGCAGCCCTCGCTGGCCCCCAATTCGTCTCCCCCCCTTCTACGCGCCCCCAGCATTTTCCATTTTACGAAACGCCAGGAGTCTGGGTGGGTGGAGCGAAAAAATGGATTCCGCCACTCCACGGACCTCGCAGGGTGCGTTCTGACCAGCATTTCGAGGACAATCCAGCCGTGGCGACAAGAGTTCTCCAGGACTCAAGCGGCCCTGGGACACACAAATAAATACACACAAATAAAAGGATTTCCCATATTTTCTCATAGTTTCTGAGTTTTTGTCTTCCCCCCCACTTCCCATATTTTCCCATATTTTCCTTGGAATCTACGATTAATTGTGTCTGTGTGTTTTGTTCCCCCTCCTGAGTTGTGTTCTTCTTCGATCAGGATGGAGGAGGAGGAGAAGGATGGAGGAGGAGGAGGAGGAGGAGGAGGAGGAGGAGGAGGAGGAGGAGGAGGAAAGGAGTTCCTCCTCCTCCTGAAAGGACGAGAAGCGGCGTCGGTATCTCTCCCGCTTCTGAGCCTGCCCCTGTGGCTTTCGGGCCATGGCTCTCGGCTCTCTCATGGCGGCCCTTCGCGACACGCTTCCGGCACCCCCCCGGAGAACCCCCTCGACGAGGTGCAGCTGATGGAAATCGTCCCGGGGTTTTGACAGCGACGACGACGACGACGACAACGACGATGACGACGACGACGACGACGACGACGACGGCGACGACGGCGACGACGACGACGACGACGACGGCGACGACGACGACGACGACGACGACGGCGACGACGACAACGACGAAAACGACGACGACGACGACGACGACGACGACGACGACGACGACGACGACGACGACGACGGCGACGACGACGACGACGAAAACGACGACGACGACGACGCATGGAGGCGGAGGAGGAGGAGGAGGAGGAGGAGGAGGAAGAGGAGGAGGAGGAGGAGGCGACGACCCACGAAAACTACCGAAAACCTTCGACAACTGGGGCATGCTCGCCGCTCGACGGGCCTGGACGTCCAGCTCACGCAGCACTTGCAGCAGCTCCGCCACGCCCGCCGGGTCCTCCCCGACGGCGTCGTCCAGCGTGAGGGCGACGTGCCTGCGCCGCCAGGCTGTCCACATCCACGGCCGCGGGGTCGTGCCCCGGGGACTCGAGTCGGGGAGCGATGGGTGCCGCCCATGGTGCGCGAGCTTTAGAAGGGGCCCTGGGACACACAAATCAATACACACAAATAACAGGATCCCCCACATTTTCCTATATTTTCTGGGTTTTTGTCTTCTCCCCCACTTCTCGTATTTTCCCATATTCCCTGGGGAATCGACGATTCATTATGTCTATATGTTTTTTTCCCTCGTGGGCATTGTGGTGTACAGAGGCGCTGTGGGGCAGATCGCCACCTACGTGCTGCTCCTGCTTGGCCTCGGTCATCCCTATGGGCATCCCCGGACGCCGCCGGCGCGGAACGTGACGTCATCTGGGGGGGGGGCGGGGCCGATGACGGCCGCTACCTCGGAAAATCAAAGAGCAGGCTCTTGTGGTGCCGGTGCGGGGGGGGGAGCGTTACGTCATCCCCCCCGATGCCTGCCCGCCCACGTGGGCGAGCAGAGGTGGCCGCGCCCATGCTGCAGCAGTCCCCGTGTCGGCGGGCATGCTGTGACCCCTCTCGGGAGCCCTCGGGGGGAGCCCTCGGGAGCCCAACAGGGCTGGTGTAACCCCGTGTTGGCCCCGTGACCCCATTTTGGCCGCGCCCAAGTTGCAGCAGTGCCAACTTACGGCAGTCACACGCCCGCGTCGGCGGGCATGGTGTGCTCCCTCTCAGGAGCCCTCGGGGGGAGCCCTCGGGAGCGCAACAGGGCTGGTGCGACCCCGTGCTGGCCCCGCGACCCCGTGTTGGCCAGGACCGCCGCTCTGGTAGAGAGAGCCCCATCCGATGCGAGCGAAACGGACGGCGCTGTCCACATCCGCCGCCCATCGAGATCCCAAAAGACCCTGGAGTAAGAGAGCCCCTTTCCGCGTGCCGCAGCAGAGCCGCGGCTTGCCTCACCATCTTGCCAGCGCGCCTCTGACGTGCACGGCTCTTTCGTTCCCTCTCCCTCTCTCTCTCTCTCTCTCTTGAGAGAGAGAGAGAGAGAGAGAGAGAGAGAGACAGACAGAGAGAGAGGGAGAGAGAACGAGAAATAGAGAGCGAGAGAGAGATCCCAGGGCCAAATCCGCTCAAAACCGGTCCCAACACGCCTCCCAGGGTCCTGCTGGCCGGAGCCAGTGCTGGGCCACCTCGGAGCCCGAGCCGGCCCCGAGTGCCCGGGGCACGGCCCCACAGGCGGCGGGAGGCGTGGGCGGCCTCTGGCGGCGGAGAGCCCTCGCGCGCCGACGCGCCCTGGAGGGGAAGGGCGCCTCTCCGACGCCCCCGGAGGCGCGCTGCGCGGAGCGCGCGGTCGTCTTCGCGCCCCAGGAGGCCGGGGGGGAGGACCTCATGCGGTCGGCTACACGCAGGAGTGGCCCTGGGTAATTGGGCGCCCGAATCATCAGGGGTAACTCGGGTCCGGGGTAACTCGGGTTTGGATTCCCGAAAAACGAACCCGAGTTATCCCTGACCCGAGTTACCCCTGATGATTCGGGGCTCTGAGGTAATGCGGGATGACGATGTATTAAAAAAGGGGGAGAACGATTAAAAAAACATAGTTTTCTGCCATCTCTGCACAGTTTTCGGACTGGAGGAGAAGGATTAAAAAATTAATGTTCCAGCCCGCGGCCGGTTTTTCTAATCGTCATCCCGGGCGCCGCCGCGTGAACACGACCCCCGGTCATTTATTAATCGTCATCCTCCATTAAGAGTGACCTCTGGTGCGCGGCTGTTGGGGCTCCGCGCGGGGACCACACACACAAGCGCGCAGGACGCTACGCTACCGTCGCATTGCGTTCGGCGATCGGGGGACCCCAATGGGCCCGCACCAAAGGCCACTCCGGCGAAGGGTCACTCTTACGTGCAACCGATACGGCTGAGGTAGAACAATCAGCAACACGTCTCATTGCGCCGGCCTTGCAGACGTGCTGCAGCGGACTTCTGCGTGGACTTTTGCCCGAAGCGGCGAGCGAAACACGAAGTGACTTTCGCGTGGTTTCCTTTTGGTCTTCAATCCTGGCCCCAAAAAACTGCACGAAATTCACCTCGAAATCCGGAACGAAATTCTCCAGGACACCCCAGGCCCACCCTATCGTTTCCCGAACGAAGTCCGCTCTGCGATGCTGGCGCCATGACACGTCCCCCCTCCCCCGCAAGTCCAAGTTGGTACGCTTACGCATCGCCGCTCGGGCACTCAAGCTCGAAAGATCCGAAACCAGCGCCGCATTTGGGGGGAGGGGGGGGAGCTCAAACCATGTCATATGTTAAGCGCGCGTGCTGCTTATACTTGATTCCGACACCTGCAGGATATCCATACCCAGACCCCCGACGTCATATTTTTGTTTTTTGTTTTACGACGTCGACCCCCGAAGGGCTCGACCCATTCCCCGGGGCCAGCTTTTCCTCCCGAGCCGTTTCTTGACGGTCCCGCGGCCCAAGAAGGGGCCCCAGAGGCCGAAAATCGTGAAAAACTTCGCGCAGTGCTTTGTCCATGGCTCGAGGAGGTCTGGGTACCCTCCTCCACCTCCTCTCGAGACCCCTGGGGCACGACTCCGAAGCGGTGGATGTGGCCTTACTCTGGCATGGGCCTCCACTGCCTATCAGTGCTTGTGACACCTGCAGGATATCCATTCTCCTCCTCCTCCTCCTCCTCCTCCTCCTGTCCTCCTCCTCCTCCTCCGCCTCCTCCTGTCCTCCTCCTCCTCCTCCTCCTCCTCCTCCTCCTGTCCTCCTCCTCCTCCTCCTCCTCCTCCTCCTGTCCTCCCTCCCTCCTCCTTC